GCCCAACCTTAACTGTCGATGTTAAAAAACACACCAAATGTTTCTATAGCATTCTTTCTGCTGCATTTTCTTTATTTCAAGCCACAGGTCTACTTGAAGGATCATACAGCAAGTGGCTTATAAATAAAATCATAGTCTATGAATAGTGTCATCACATTAAGAAACAGAATTAATTGCAGGATTCTCTCGTTACATAAAAAGCTCGCATCTTGGGAATCCACGAGTTGATATTATTTATGGAATACCTGAGATGTACCTTGCTCCAATTAACATTACCATGCTACTCACTATAAAAAAGCCCAAGGGCAGACTACAGAAGATACTAGGGTCACCACTTTCTGGAGACTGAGTCGTAACCCAACCCATTGACTTCATCACAGCTTTCTTCCATGTAGAATAACGGATTTCACTTTCCTCAGCGTTGATCTGAGGTTCAAACCGCTCCATCGTGACAGCTGACAAATCCTCGGGTTCTAGACTCCAAACGCCGACTCCTTCTGCTGCCCCTGCCGCCATGGCAGCGCCCAGCGCAGTGGTTTCAGGCATTGAGGGCTTCACTACTGGAATATACAGAATGTCTGCTTGTAGCTGCATAAGAATTTTGTTGCTGGTCATTCCTCCATCTACCTGCAAATGACGGAGTGGAATTCCACAGTCCCGATTCATGGCATCCAAAATCTCTCGGGTTTGGAAACAAACAGCTTCTAGAGCAGCAAAAGCAATATGGCATTTATTGGTGAACTGAGTGAGTCCACAGATTATCCCTCTTGCACTGGGATCCCAGTAAGGTGCATATAATCCTGAAAATGCTGGGACGAAGTAGCAGCCATAAGAAGTACCTACTTCTTTGGCAAGTTTTTCAATTTCTTCTGAGGTCTTTATAATTCCAAGATTGTCTCTTAGCCAGCGAATAACAGCACCAGCGATAGCTACAGAACCTTCCAATGCATAAAAAACTGGCTTGTCTCTGCCGAGTTTGTAAGCCACTGTGGTGAGAAGGCCGTGTTCAGAAAATACACACTTACGGCCTGTATTACATAGTAAGAAACATCCTGTTCCATACGTGTTTTTGGCTTGTCCATCCTGGAAACACATTTGTCCCACCAGTGCAGCAGACTGGTCTCCCAAACACCCAGATATTGGCACACCTTCCAAGGCCCCAGCTTTCATTAGGCCATAGATCTCAGAAGAACTCCGGACATTTGGAAGAATTTCCATAGGAATTCCAAAAAATTCGCAGAGCTCTTTATCCCATTCCAAAGAATGAATGTTGAAAAGCATCGTTCTACTTGCGTTTGTTACATCCGTACAGTGGACACCTCCATTGACTCCTCCTGTCAAGCTCCAAATAAGCCATGAATCGACGGTCCCAAAAAGAGCTCTATTTTCTTTAACAGCCTTTTGAACTTCTCTCACGTTGTCGAGGATCCAACGAAGTTTCACTGCACTGAAGTAAGTGCTAAGTGGAAGGCCCGTCTTGGACTTGACAAAATTATTATTTCCTGGAATTCTCTTACTAAGACTCTCGACGGTAGACTGGGTTCTTAGATCAAGCCATACCACAGCATTGTAGAGAGGCTCTCCAGTTGACTTGTCCCAGACTACAGTGGTTTCCCTCTGGTTGCTGACACCAATAGCTTTTATGTTGGAAATATCAATATTGAGCTGTCCAAGTTTCTCGCATGTTTTCTCGACACACTCACAGACGGAATGAAGAATTTCCTTAGGGTCTTGTTCCACCCATCCCTCTCTTGGAAACTCTTGTTTTATTTCCACTTGATGATGACTGAGCAGTTCGGCTGTTTTTGAATTGAAAACCAAAAAGCGCGTCGAGCTGGTGCCCTGGTCCACTGCCCCCACCAATGGCCCCCAAACTGCTTTCTCCGCGGCTGCCATGAAACCGGCTTCAAGTGGGCGGGCGACTGCGACTGCGACCGGTTTCCCGGGCGACGGCGGCGGGCGGGGGAGGGGCGGGTGGCGAGTGGGAGAGCGAGGCAGCGCGCGTCCCCCGAACCCTCGCACCTGTTCTGTTATTTTATACACTTATTTTTCACCTGGGAAGACATCGTACATTGCAGGAGTTGAAATTTATTATATGTCCTGATGATTCTCCTCCACTTGTGAAACATCAGCAATGATTGCCTTGTGTTATATAAATGTATTTGTTGAAAAATTCCGTGTCATGGATGACAGGCAGAAATTACAAAGGTGAGAAGAATTATAAAAGGACAATGTTACCTCTTAACTATCAGTTTCTTCTTTTTCCTTCTTTAGGTTTAGTCATTCAGATGCATTTAAATATATTTATATGATACTAATTTAGGTTTTTGAGAAATCTTTTTTGTAATTTTATGTTGCCTCTAAAGCTCAGTTATCTTTGACAAGTTGAAAAAACTCATACCTATGTAATAGGATGTTATATTTAGTATCTGAAGAGGCATAAAAAAGTAGATGCTCCATGCAAAATTAAGACCGCATTTCAGGGCTTGTAAAAAAGGAGACAGTAGAAAACTTGTTTTGTTATCCTGAACTAACCACCAACATCTGTCTACAAAATAATTTAAAGGATAAGGAGTGGATGCAAATTGAGAGAGTAGTTTTGGAAAGCTGCCCATATGCCATAAGTCCCATTTCCCACCAAAGGGGGAAGCTTTGGTACTATTGAAATATAACTTCAATGATTAAAAACATGATCTATTCATATGCCACAGTGTATTTAATTCATTAAGGAAGGAATTATCAGAATAGTAAATCTGGTTCAAAGAAAATTCAGTAGACTGCCTGTATATAGACATTGAGGGTAAATACCAGGAGAAGATTTCTAGGTTAGATACAAAACTGGTTACAGTTGTACAGTGCACTACAACCATCACCTTTGGAATTATTTTATCTAAAGGACAGATATTATTTACATATCTAGATATAACATGCAATTGCAGAGTCATTCTGCCATATCACCAAAATTCTTTTTAATCATTTACAATAAAACTGGTTACAGTTGTACAGTGCACTACAACCATCACCTTTGGAATTATTTTATCTAAAGGACAGATATTATTTACATATCTAGATATAAATGATATGAAAAATGCAGGTGAAAAAAATCTAGAAATAAACATACAACATTACAAAGTCAGAGCCCTTATTAATAGGAAATGATGATCAAGCAAAGAAACAATTTCGTAGAGAATCAGGTAACCCTTGGGTTATCTTTGACAGTGTTCTAGCATGGCATTGAATAAACATGCAGTTGCT